GAAAAACATCATGTGAAGCTGAACATTTTTTTAATTTATTCATTTTTATTTTATGAGCATTGGTGTTTCACCTGCATGTTTGTCTGTGTGAGGGTGTCAAGTTCCCTGGAACTGAAGCTGTGAGCCACCATTTGGTTGCTGGGAATTCAGGACCTCTGGAAGAACAGTCAGTGCTCCTAACCACTGAGCCATCTCTCCTGCCCCTGATGCTGAATGTTTTAAAGAAACTGAATTTTTAAAGACTGTGGGACTTTTAAAATTTGGGATGTTTATATTGTAATGATGATATTCATGTGTGACTGGGGATAAACAAGAAAGGAAGTGTTGTGGCTTGACAGTGACATTTGTGTGTCCAGTGGACAAGTGATCACTCTTGCTGGCTAGTTTTATGTCAACTTGACCCAAGCTAGAACCATCTGAGAGGAGGGAATCTCATTTGAAAACATGACCGTATAAAATCGGGCTGTAAGGCGTATTCTTAATTAGTGCCTGGTGGGGGAGGGCCCAGCCCATAAGATACCAGCCATCCCTGGCCTGGCATCTTAGGTTCTATAAGGAAGCAGGCTGAGTAAACCATGATGAGCAAGCCAGTAAGAGACACTGCTCCACTGCCTCTGCCTCAGCTCCTACCTCCAGGTTGCTGCCCTGTTTGAGAGTTCCCAATACTGACTTCAGTGATGGGCTCTGATGTGGAAGTGTAAGCCACTTGCTTCCTCCACAACTTGCTTTTTGGTCATGATGCTTCACCATAGCAACAGTAACCCCAACTAGGACACTGTCTTTGGGACAGATACAGATCTCTAGATATTGAGACAGTGTCTCGCTATGTAGACCTGGTTGTGTGTGTTGTGTGTGCACGCACATACATACACATGTATGTGTCACATTCTATGTGTGGAAGTCAAAGGCAACTTCCCCCCCTGTGTTGGTTCCTGGGTCCAAATTCAGATCACCAGGCTTGTCAGCAAGCACCTCTACCTACTGAGCTATCTCACTAGCCCAGTCTTTTGTCTTTCATTTCTTTAACCTGAGCTCCGTCTCAACGCTGCACTGGCTTGACCCCACAAGTTTCCTATTGGCTGAGCGGTATTTTCTAATCCCCTCATGATTTACTCTTTGACCAGCTGCTATTTAGGAGTGGGTGTTTTGGGTTCTTTCATATTTCTCCTATATGTATTTCTGACTCTGTCTTCCCAGCTCTCGCAGGTTGCCCATGTTCCTTGACTCATAGAAGTCCACGATTTCAAACCCAGGGGTCTCGTCAGTCCTATGTTCCCTGCCATCTTTGACTCTGCTCCTATTCTTTTGCCCCCCTCTTTCTATTATGAGAGCTCTTAATAAATCGGGACACTTGAATGAAGCAGAGTCCTCTCCATCATGGTCTCTTCAGTGTAAGCATCTCTGGTGAGCCCGTTTTTACCACAGACATGAGCACATTCACAGGTGCAGGAGTTGGGGCGCTCGCTGCTCCAGTTCCTTCTCTCTTAATATGATAACCTGCAGAGCTACTTGTCGAAGGACAAATGTTTATGTTGGGCTATGGTTCCAGAGAGGGAGTTCATGTCAGGGGAAGCATGGCTTAGTGGTTAAGAGCCCTGGCTGCTCTTCCAAAAGACCTGGGTTCAATTCCCAGCACCCACATGATGGCTCACAACCATCTGGAACTCCAGTTCCTGGGGATTCAACATCTTCCAAGGGCATGACATGCTCGTGGTGTACACACGTCCATGCAGGAAAAAACTCACACACATGAAATAAAAATAATTCTCAAAAACCCTAAACAAACAAAAAACAATATTTGAAAAAATTAAGACGATGCTAACACTTGTTACCAAGTGTTGTGGAGTGGGTTGCACCTGTGTTATTTTCTGGTCATTCCTACTGAAGATCTAACAGGAGAAACAAGAATGAATGAGAGCTGGGAAACAGGAGTTGTGCTTTGATTAGCCATGTATTATTAATGCTTTGTATATTTTTCAATTTTGTATTATATTAGCATAGTATATGTTTTTCCTCCTTGGGGTAAGGCTATGAAGGCAGGAAGGCAGAGCTTGTAGGGAATCACCACAGGCATTGGCTTATAATGCCTTGCTTTGGAAAGGGCACCCCCACAGAAGGATTCTCTTCTCTCCAGATATCCTGCCCTAGCCCCCTTGCTTCTCTCTGAGACAAAAAACATTTCACAGCAAACTCCCAGCAGCAGCCAAAGAAAACAGAGCCAGGAAAAGGCAGCCGTGGGCCAGGGAGGAAGCAGAGTTCTGAACCTTGACCGATAACATTCTCCAGTCAAAGCAGCAGAGCCCAGCCACAATGGTGAAGGAGTTCGGGGACACCCAGTGGACACCCAGAGCAGCCCAAGTCCCACAGCTCCAAGCTGGATATGAAATGAAAACAAATGCCTTCCGCTACCCAGGTGACGACCCCTGCACACTTCTGGGTCATTTATTTAACAAATGTAAACTGAAATTTTACACTGCCTTAGGAAGGCACCTTGCTAGCTCACCTGCTGGCTCCTTCCTCACTCCCTACCTCTGGTCATACATTCAGGGCAATCTGAGCATTGACTTTTAGCCCTCTTTCCCCTCAGATGGAGAGTGTCAGTAAGCCACCCTTGAAGGGCACCTGTCCTCCCTCCCTCCCCCCTTTTTTTTGGGGGGGGGGGTGGGCTCCAAGGTGACACTCGGAGCTATTGGTGTCCGGGCTGCTGTGGGAGCAGATGTCTGTTGAGATTGTTCCCTTTCTGACCTGAAATTGCCTAAAGGAGCATCCAGCCCCGCTCTGGGACAGAGCATCACAGACCGCAAACTGTCCCTAATGAGTCAGGAGCATTGGCGTATTAGCCGGTAGCCTCCTCGGTTTTCCCAAACACTTCTCTGAGGCCTCGTGGGCCTGACTTCACTGGGCGGAATCCGGCGGCGGCGCAACTGCTCCTTAGCACTCACTGGCCAGGAAGGAAAGGAGCATTTCCTTTGCTTCCCCCTGGCACAGCTCGACCTCTTCCTCCCCACCCTTCCCTCCAAAGCCCTGGTCACAGTGCCCCCTGGTGGAGGCCTGCGGCAACAGCCTGGGAGAACGCAGCCTCACCCTACTCACTCCCAAAGGCCCAGGGAAGTCTGGTTAAATGGGGAGGAGAGCTGGAGCTAGGACCCAGGGGCTGCTGGGGGTGTGGCGGGGTAGACAGAATAGAGACAGACCTCCCTATAACCAGATATTGTGAGTTTTCAAGACAAGCTAGAAACTCTCAGTTAAAACAAACTTTTAGGGCTGGAAAGATGGCACAGGGTAAGAGTACTTCTTGCTGGTCCAGAGGATTCAGGTCCCATTCCCAGCACCCACAGCAAGTGACTTGCCGCAACCTGTAACTTCAGTACCAGGGGGATCCAAGACCTCTGTAGGTACCTGCATGCACATACAAATACCTAAATTTACATATAATTAAGAAAAAAATAAAAATAGAAAACATAATTTCTACTCAGAGCCTATGATTCCAATCCTCTGGACAATGAGGCAGGAGGATTAATGTGAGTTTGAAACCATGCTGAACTATATAGGAGACCCGAGTCTCAAAGAAAAGGCCCCCACCCACCACCAAAGAAAACCTAATATCTGTTAAGCTATTTTTTTCTGCTGTTTGGGGCAAAATCAATTTTCCTAAAGGTGTGTATACATATATATATATATATATATATATATATATATATATATATATATTCAGTAACTTCTAAAATACCAATATTTGAACATTCTAGAAATTTGTATTCCCCCAGGCAACATG